TGGGGAGCAACACCTGCTGGAAAGCGGGTCCAGCGTCCCAGATCATTTGTAATCGAATGTTTGAATAGTTGTAAATGCGCAGGCACATGGTGATGGGCAACATTGATTGCCATCGAGCGAGGGGATTGACTGCCCATCAAACCCTAGGACCCTTACCCTGCCTTATTCAACTACTATACTGATATAGTAAGAAGGGGAAAGAACCGGACAAGGTTTGGTTTCTACTTGTGCAATTTTCTACCCGGTGTTGCCAGCACATGTGTCTCCCCTATAACAGTAATTAACAAAACCCACTCAAGCGCGGAGAGCACTAATTCAAAGAGAGAAAACAAAATTATAGGAGGATGAAAGAGCCGCAAAAGTCATATTAGACACCTGCTCTTCCGCCCTCACCGTGACCACGTGGCCGGGAGGCCCGGGACCAAACGACACGCCCTAAGAGCAACCAACAAACCCTAGTGACATATGCAACAACACCTCTCGCCCCCCCACCCCCGACCCGCCACATGGCAGATACTTGTGATCATTGTGATTGGTGTACCCATCAAAATTTGTAATGGGCAAACGTCAATCGAAATAAGACAGGCGAAGATATGACAATATTACATGCCGACAAAAACTAGTTGGAAGTCCTATCCCTACCCCATTCATTCTCGACACCACAGTGCGCCTTTCCACACACCCCATTCAATAAGCGGCGGCCAAAACAAAGAAGAGAAGGGGGCAAGAGGAGAAAAGAGTCGTCGCCCGTCCCCCGACGCACTCACCGCGTTATTGTTGATGTCGATTTCTCCAGTCGCCTTGTCGATGATTCGGTTGTTGATGTTATTGTTCTAATTGCTGTTATTATAGTCGTTGCCGTCATCAGTATTGTTGTTGTTGTTGTAGCTGATGGTACCGCCGATCTCGCCAGTGTCAAAATAACTGTTACCAAAACCGGCGGCCTCTGCGATATCGTTGTTGTTGTTGTTGACCGTGACGTTGTTACTGTTGTTGTTGTCATCATTATTGTTGTTGTTGTTGTTATTGTTGTTGTTGCTGCCTCTTTCATCAACAGATGACCATGAGATCACACCGACAACAACGTTGCCTCTGTTGTTGGTGGTGGTGTTGTCATGAATGATGATGCCGCCAATCTCACCAGAATCGCCATCAAAGGGACCGACAACAATAACAATGATATTGTCGTTATCGCCAAAATCGCCATCAAAGGGACCGGCAGCAGCAGCAACAATATTGTCGTTGTTGTCGTTATTGTTGATGTTGTTGTTGTTGTTGTTGTTATTGTTGTTGTTGTTGTTGTTGTTGTTGTTGTTGTTTTTGTTGTTGTTGTTGTTGTTGTTTCTGTTGATGCCGATGCATGGGCATCCTGCCACTTGCGTAGGTGTTGTGGGTGATGATGGCGAATCGTCGTCCTCCTCCAGATGTAACTGAGCATACCAGTGCTCCATGGACACGGCGCACAATGCTTGCCCCTCCTCAAAGACTGTGTAGCAGTGTTGCATCAAAGTCGCAGTCTGTCGCTGGTCAATAAACCTTGCCAAATAAGAAGTTGGCCCCTCCTCCAGCTTCGTGATAATATGCACAAGGCTTTGCATCATGCTTTGGTTTGTGAGATACGGCAGTGTGTTCCCCCCATCAGACACCAGCCTCATCTCATCCACTCTCTGTCGGAGAAGGTCCTGACTCATCTGAAGAAACTAAAGCCAATGAGCGGCGCCCTGAAGTAAAGCCTCAATCGTGCCCATCGGCATCGTTGACCGTGTTGACCCCGTTGACCTTGTCACCCTCGTGGCAAAACCTCCCGTCCACGTCATTGTCTTCAGTACGTTGGGGTTACTGCGTCCTCCAGATCCCATGTGGGGCTAAACTTCAGCTGGCGAAAGTTGGGGCCGTGAACGCTCGAGTCGCGCAGCTATGGTCGCTCGAAGCGACAACCGCGAGGTTCGTGCGGTGCCTAGCAGGCGGGCCTTGCCGTCTGCGGGCCGCAAGGTGCGTCTTCTGTTCTGCACAACACACTCATAACAATAAATGGAACAAAACTCTCTCTCTCTCTCTCTCTCTCTCTCTCTCTCTCTTGTGTGAGCTCTTAGTCTCATTGATTTGGCTACCTTAGGGTTGCGTTCCCCGCGCCCACTCGGTAGACAATGGAGCGTGGAACAACGTACAGTTTGCAGCCCTAAGGCTGCGGTCTAGTGGGTCTAATGGGGTTCAGCGTCTGTGTCCAGGTGTACCATTTTTGGCCGCGAGCGACCGGGACGAAAAGTGGGTTCTTTTAGGGGGCAAAAACATTTGGGAAACTTGCCAAAATTGCGGACTACCCACAACTAGCTCTGGTAGAACCGGGACTTTTGGAAAAAGGAAGGACCGGTCCTCGGGTGGAAGTGAACCCCAAAAAGAAGTGGGGGGCATTGAACGGGTCAACGGGTGGAAGCAGACCCCAAAACAAAGTCAAGGCATGCGAACTGCAAACGGCCCCTCAGGCCCAGGCGTTGAGGCCCGTCTTCTCAAAACAGGGAGGTCAGGCACAACGAAACAGGCGTTTTGCCAGAGGCACCTTTGACGATTTTTTGTGGTCGGAGGAACCCGCAGAAAAATCTGAAATTTCGAGAATCCATAGATGAGGTCGTGTTCTTTCTAGGAAGAATTTCAGAACATTTAAAAAAAATCATTTAAACCAAGAACTAATCGTTGCGCCGATTCGACACATTTTCCATTTTTGCCACTCAACCATGTGTGGGCCAACTTAAAAAGTACTCCAAATTCAGTGAGTTTTCACTCTCATAAGAATGTGTGAAAAAACCTGAAAATTGGAGCACATGTAGATTTTGTTGTGATCTTTCCAGGAAAAACGCCAAATAAATTTAAAAAAATCATTCCAAGTGCGAAATAGATCGCGGCCGCAATTTGACCCATATTTCAATTTTGCCATTCAGTCAGTCTCTCTCTCTCTCTCTCTCTCTCTCTCTCTCTCTCTCTCTCTCTCTCTCTCTCTCTCTCTCTCTCGCGTGCGAACTCTTAGTCTCATTGATTTGCCTACCTTAGAACGTCCAATAGAGAGGTGAAGTCGATTGTCTTGAGTAGCTCTTCGCAGCCCTAAGGCTGCGGTCTAGTGCGGTTCGACATTTTTAGCGGCGGGCGACCAGGACACAAAGTGGGTTCTTAGGGTTCAAAAAAAATTGGGGAACCGGTCCTTGCCAAAATTGCGAACTACCTACAAGTTACATCAAGTTCTGGTAGAACCAGGACTTTTGGAAAAAGGAAGGACCGGTCCTCGGGTGGAAGTGGACCCCAAAAAGAAGTGGGGGGCGTTGGACGGGTCCACTGGTGGAAGCGGACCCCAAAACAAAGTGAGGGCATGCGAACTGCAAAGGGGCCCTCAGGCCTAGGCGTTGAGCCCTGTCTTCTCAAAACAGGGAGGTCAGGCGCAACGAAACAAGCGTTTTGCAAGAGGCACCTTTGGCGATTTTCTATGATCGAGGAAACCCGCAAAAAAATCTGAAATTATGAGAATTCATAGATAAGGTCGTGTTCTTTCTAGGAAAAATATTCGAACATTTTAGAAAAATCATTTAGACCGAGAACTAATCTCACGCCAATTCGGCACATTTTCCAATTTTGCCACGTAGCCATATGTGGGCCAACTTAAAAAGTACTCAAAATTCAGTGAGTTTTCACTCTCAGAAGAATGCGTGAAAAAACCTGAAAATTGGAGTACTTGTAGATTTTGTTGTGATCTTTCCAAGAAAAACACTAAATAAATTTTAAAAAATCACTCAAAGTGCGAAATAGATCGCGGCTCCAATTTGACCCGTATTTCAATTTTACCATTCAACCTCTCTCTCTCTCTCTCTCTCTCTCTCTCTCTCTCTCTCTCTCTCTTTGGTTGGCCCCCCGCCTCCCTCTCTCTCTATCTCTCTTGCTTTCTCTCTCTCTCTTCCTCTGTCTCTCTCTTTCACTCGTATCAAAAAA